AGGGAGGGCCTGCACTGGGTCAGGAACTGCCCCCAAAAGAAAAAGACACTCCATGTCCCAACCCTAGCGACCACGTTAGAACAAGAGAGCGACTGGGGAGACGGGGCTCAGTACTCCTCCCTGAGCTCAGGGTAACCCCAAAGATGGAGGGGAAGCCAGTCCAGTTACCGGTAGACACGGGAGCCCAGAGTTCAGTCCTCCCGGCCCCTGCCAGAACCTGGGTGTAGGGAGCCACGGGAACTAAGTCATGTTCATGGACTACTCGGAAAACTGTGGACTTAGGCATGGGGAAAGTAATCCATTCCTTCCTGGTGATACCAGAATGCCTCTATCCTCTGCTGTCTAAAATGAGAGCCCAGATTCAATTCTCAGAAGAGGGAGTTCGGCTAATGGACCAAAAAGGGAGGCCGATACAAGTACTCCCGACAACCAACCTGTCGAGGAATACAGGGCTCCACCTAGAACCCGAGGCTCCCAGGCAAGAAATTCAAGCATGACTCCAAAAATTCCCCCTGGCGTGGGCAGAGACGGGGAAGGGGACTGGCCAAACATAGACCCCCAGTCTATGTGAAATAAAATCAGACACTGACCCAGTCAAAGTCCACCAATACCCCAGGTCACTAGAAGCAAAGAAAGAAATAACTCCCCATATAAGGAGGTTTATGAGCCTTGGAGTCCTACGGCCGATTTAGTCCGCATGGAACACTGCCCTATTACCAGTCAAGAAACCCCACTCAGGGGAATGCAGACCGGTCCAGGACAGGTGAACAAGAGAGTGGTGGATATACACCCCACCGTGCCTAACCATGTACCCTGTTGAGCTCACTGCCCCAGACCGGCAATGCTACTCTGTTTTGGACTTGAAAGATGCCTTCTTTAGCCTCCCTTTGGCCCCCAAAAGCCAACCGTACTTTGCCTTTGAATGGCACGACCCAGAGATCTGGCTCAGCAGACAGCTGACATGGACCAGACTCCCCAAGGGTTCAAAAACTCCCCAACCATATTTGATGAAGCTCTTCATGAAGACCTGGGTGAGTATTGCACCCCAAATCCCGACTTCAGTCTGTTACAATATATAGATGACTTGTTGATTGCTGCTGCCGACAGAGCAGCCTGCCTTGAAGGGACTGAAAACCTGCTTCTGACCCTAGGACGCCTAGGGTACCGAGCTTTGGCTAAGAATGCCCAAATCTGCAAGAAACAGGTCAGGTATCTAGGGTATGTCCTTAAGGGGGGTCAAAGATGGCTGTCGGACACTCAGAAGGAGACAATCTTGAAAATACCTGCTCCTACAACACCCAGACAGATGAGAGAGTTTCTAGGGATGGCGGGTTTCCGTCTCCTCTGGATTCCTGGGTTTGCGGAATTGGCCAAGCCCCTATATGAGATTACTAAAAACACAACGGATTTGTCTGGACAGAGAGGGAACAACGAGCATTTGAGGAACTGAAACGGAAACTCCTGGAGGCCCCAGCCCTTGGCCTACCAGACATCAACGAACCCTTCCATCTTTATGTGGATGAGAGTAGGGGCATTGCCAAAGGGGTCCTCACCCAGACCTTGGGACCCTGGAAAAGACCAGTGGCATATCTGTCAAAGAGGTTGGACCCAGTGGCGGCGGGGTGGCCCCCATGCTTAAGAATAATTGCGGCTGTAGCTCTGTTAGTCAAAGATGCGGACAAGCTAACTCTTGATCAAAAGCTGACTATTGCTACCCCGCACGCCCTGGAAGGAGTCCTTAAGCAGTCCCAGATGGGTAGATCATCAATGCGAGGCTTACTCACTACCAGGCTCTCCTTCTTAACCCAGCCAGACTAACTTATCAAGTTCCAACAGCTCTCAACCCGGCCACCCTCCTGCCTAACCCGGACCTAGGAGCTCTGCTCCATGATTGTGCCAAGATCCTGGCCCAGGCACACTGCATACGCCCAGATCTGCGAGATGTCCCGCTGCCAGATGCGGAAGAAACTTGGTTCACGGACGGAAGCAGTTTCCTACGTGATGGGCAAAGGTATGAGCGGTGGTAACCACCTGTGAGGCTGTAGTATGGGCCACTGCACTGCCACCGGGGACTTCGGCACAAAGAGCCAAACTGATAGCCCTAACGCCCTCTAGCTCGGGAGGGACCAGAAGTTGAATATCTACACTAATAGTAGATTTGCTTTTGCCACTGGGCATATCCATGGGGCTATATACAGGAAAAGGTGTCTATTGACTGCAGAAGAGAAGGCCATTAAAAACAAGCAGGAAGCCGGGCGGTGGTGGCGCACGCCTTTAATCCCAGCACTCGGGAGGCAGAGCCAGGCGGATCTCTGTGAGTTCGAGGCCAGCCTGGGCTACCAAGTGAGTCCCAGGAAAGGCGCAAAGCTACACAGAGAAACCCTGTCTCGAAAAACCAAAAAAAAAAAAAAAAAAAAAAAAAAACAAGCAGGAAATTCTAGAACTGCTGAAAGCCCTCTGGGCCCCTAAGAAACTGGCGGTTCTTCACTGCTCAGGGCCCCAGAAAGGTGAAGGGCCAATTCAGAGAGGAAATAACTTGGCAGATCAGGCCCCAAAACGGGCGGCTGTGACAACCACTACAGCCCCTGTGTTTGTGGACCCTAGAGCCCGTGACCTTCCCTCTCGACCCTGTTACACGGACAAGGATGAGGCATGGGCAAAATCCCTACCCATGGCCCACCGAGAAGGGGGACGGTGGCAGACAGCTGATGACAAGATCATCCTGCCCCAAGAACTGGGACGAACAATGCTCCGAAAAATATATGGAGCGTCCCACCTGGGAATCAGGAGGATGCAAGATCTCCTCAGACACTCTGCAGTAAAAATTAAAGAAGGCAACCAGATTATAGAGGACATTGTGGCCAGTTGTTACACTTGTGGCCTGACTAACACCAGCACGCACCCAGCCAACCCGGGGAGTCGCCTCCGGGGCACCGGAGCCTCATGTGTAGGAGGGCGACATCTACTGTGCTAGCTGGGGATGTGAATTCACTGGATAGATATCCTGGACTCCTCCAACAAAGGGAGACTTGATCACAGTACAGCAGGTAGGAGATACAACCAGCCTGGGGGTCGGGTTTTGAGGGAATCAGCCTGTGGAAACTGTTATGACATAGAACGCTATCCCACTTACGCTGGAGCCAGACCTGGCGGGCGCTGCAACCCCCTAATTATCTAATTCACAGAGGCCAGTAAGCGGGCAGAAAGTCCTTCTTGCTCCTGAATGCGTCCAAACCTGACTTAACTGTTTCATGTTGGCTCTGTTACGATGCACAACCCCCTTTTTAGGAGGGGACTGCGGTGGAGGGCAATTATACAATGACTAGCAACCCCCAGGAATGCCGATGGCAAACTAAGGCCTCCCTTACTATCCAGCAGGTACAGGGCCAGGGCTTTTGCATAGGAACAGTTCCAGCTAAGTACCAGGTTCATTGTAATAACACCCAACCCCTCCCTGACCAGACCTCCACCTACGGCCTCCTGATAACACTTGGTGGGCATGCTCTACGGGACTGACACCCTGTGCACATGTCCAAGTCCCCAATAGAACTCAGAGCTTCTGTATGGTGGTCCGGCTTCTGCCACGATTGATATAACATTCTGAGGAGGAGCTAGAAGGCCTTGTTGGACCAGTCAGCCTCCGTCGGTCAAAAAGGGAGCCAGTAATGCCCTCACTTTCAGCATACTGTTGGGGGCCAGTCTAGCCCGGCGAGGGACAGGAGCTGCCACTTTGGTCGTCCAACAACAACGCTGCTCAAGCTTGCGTGAGTCCGTAGATGAGGACATAGAAAAGCTAGAGTTCCAGATTGCCCACCTCCAAGAGTCCCTGACCTCCCTAGCGGAAGTTGTCTTACAGAACAGAAGAGGGTTGGACCTAATATTCCTAAAAGAAAAAGGATTGTGTGCTGCATTGGGTGAAGAATGTCGTTTCTATGTAGGCTACTCGGGAATAGTAAAAGACTCAGTAGCCAAGGTCTGAGAGGGCATAGCCCAGCGAAAAAGAGAACGAGACGCCAACCACGGATGGTTTGAAGCTTGGTATTCTAAATCCCCCTGGTTCACTACCTTAATTTCCAGTCTCCTTGGGCCCCTCATTATTTAGTGTTACTATTGACATTCGGATCTTGTATCTTAAACAAGTTGGTACAGTTTATGAGACAGAGGTTGGGGACCGTTTAATTGACGGTACAGCGTGGCTATGTACCTGTCAGCATTGCTGAAACCCCCAACACACATGAAGAAGAGTCATTTTATTTTATTTTATTTTATTTTATTTTATTTTATTTTATTTTATTTTTTTAGTTTCTCGAGGCAGGGTTTCTCTATGTATCCGCCGTGGCTGTCCTGGAACTCATTCTGTAGACCAGGCTGGCCTCGAATTCACGGAGATCCGCCTGCCTCTGCCTCCCGAGAGCTGGGATTACAAGCGTACGCCACCACCACCCGGCAAGAAGAGTCTTATGAGCTACTTGAGGCCCAAGACTGGGCCTCCTTAGGACCACGAGAAGGGGGAAATGTGGGACCAAAATGCCTTCATCATAAAAATAAGGCCTAAGCTTTCTCCATTTTAGGTGCAGACCTTGAATTACTGGAACCAGTCAAACCAGATTGCAGGTCAAAGTACAGAGTTACAAGGTATTCATGTGGTGATGACTGCTGGACCACAGAATGTCCCAAGCCTGATTCCCAGGGTAACTGTTTAACCACAGTGTGTCCCAACCCTGGTCTCCACCTGAGGGCAGCCCATGAGAAACGGTGACAGGCACCCCCCCCCCCCCCCTTAGAAGTAAGATTAAACACGATCTGGGTACAACAATACCATTATTTCTACCAGTGAAGAACTTCCACAAGTTTAGCCTTAAACCCACTGATGCAAGAAAATCGTCTGTCTGGGCTAAACTCCGCCCCGCTAGCCCCGGGAAGCCCCGCATTCCGTAATGGATTGGTGCCATTGGCTGTCACTCAGGCCCTATGACAGAGGAGGGGGGCGGGCTTATAAAGTTACGCCGAGGTTGAGTTCCACGAGTTCGCCATTTTCCGCTCTGTCATTCCGAGACGTCGGTTGGCTGAGCCTGCGCGGGCACGGGAGACCGAGGGAAGTCGCCGGACGCTCCGAGACCGACCGGCCATGGTGAGCGCGGCGTCCCCGCGGAGCTGGTGCGGGCGGCTGCAGGTCCCCAGGCCCGGCTGCGGGGTCCCCGCTGTGGGGTGGGGCTGGGCAGGTGCCGGCGGCTGCGGGGTCCCCAGGTCCCCCGCTTTCGGGTGTGGCTGGACAGGCGCTGGGTGCCCCGGGCGTCCCTGATCCCTGCACCGGAGCTCGAGCCTGGTGGTCGCCCCGCTCTCTGCAGCTCCAGCGCTGCCGGGGCCGTGGGGCCGCTGGAAGAAGGCTAGAGAAGGGAATTAATTCCCTTGCAGCTGCTTTAGCACAGTACCCACTAGCCTTCCTCTCTGGGCTTCGCATACTGGGAGGGGTGAGATGGGGGAACTGCATGTACTGCATGGAAAGTCGGGAACTGGGTGCAGGGAGCGGGGTTTAGGGGTTGGGTTGTGCCCGTGTTGGTGTGAGGCCTCTGTAAGACCCCCTACTCTATTCTCCAGAGAGGAAAAAGCTTAGGCAAGGATATCTTAATATAGACAGGCCCAGACCAGTTTTAAGTTCCCAGATGGTGGTATCAGCCCTGAAAGACCCCCGAAGGTAGTCTTCCCTCTGGAGAGACCCTCGCCCAGAAATCACACCGAGACCACAAGTCAGATGCAAACAGCAAGAGGCTTTATTCCGGAACACGGGTACCCGGGGCGACACAGTCCCTCCAGAGGCTCAAGAGGCTGGTGCACCGACGGGCTGGAGTGGAGGGTTTTTATAGGGTCGGGCAGCAGAAGGGCGGGTACAGAAGCAAGAAGCATGTTCTACAGGGTTCTGATTGGACGATTCATATGAGGCCATGGTTTACAGGGTTCTGATTGGACGACTCATATGAGGCCATGGTTTACAGGGTTCTGATTGGACGATTCATATGAGGCCATGGTTTACAGGGTTCTGATTGGACAATTCATATGAGGCCAGGTTCAAACTCAGGACAGTTCGTGGTTTTTCCCCCGAGCTCGACACGCCTGCTGACTTGGCTCTTATCTAGGGTACAAGTTGTTTTTCTGACCTTTTAGTTCCCTGTTCTGGGGCCAGGTGGCCGACCGCAGATACCCTGTTTGTTCCTGCGCCCATGTCCTCTAACTGAACTTTCCCCGTACTTTTCAGGCCTTGCTCAAAATGGCGTTAGGCTAAGCAAGTATGCTGGGGCCTTTCAGCCCCAGAAACTCGAAAATACAGTCAGGATGTTTGACCATCTGGTGGGGACTGTTTGACCACGAAATGTCCCAACTCCGGAGGCAGGATGTCTCAACTCCGGAGACAGCTCCTGAAAGTCCTGACAAAGCAGCTGAACAGACGATGAAAGACCCCGCTTATAGCAGGCTTTTACTTAGCCTAAGAAACGCCATTCTGCAAAGCAAGCACCAGAAAAACAGGAGTTCATAACTGTGGTCGGCCACCCGGCCTTGGGAGAGAAACCGCTGAGTCAAAATAAGATATCTGTGGTTGGCCACCTGGCCTTGGGGAATAAACAGTTGGGCTGGGAAAACACCCACAAGGCCAAGTCAGCCACACACATCAAATTTCCGAGAATTAAAAATATGTCCCCAAGTTCACCCTGGCCTTATTTGAATCAACCAATGGGAACCCTGTAACTATGCCTCTCGCTTCTGTAACCGCCCTTCTGCCCCTGGGATCCTATAAAAAGTCCCCCTTACCCTAGGAAGGCGCGCAAGTCCTCCGAGAGACTTTGTCGCCCCAGGTACCTGTGTATCTGAATAAACCCTCTTGCTGTTTGCATCTGATCCGTGGTTTCGGCGTGTTCCTTGGGTTTGGGGTCTCTCCTGAGGGAAGATCTCCTCCGGGGGGTCTTTCAACATGAACCCTTTGCTCTACTTTCTTCCCAGTTCAGGGAGAAGTGGTCAGTTAAGAATTAAGTGGTTGAGCCAGACTGGTGGTGGCGCACACTTTTAATCCCAGGACTCGGGAGGCAGAGGCAGGCGGACTGGCCTACCAAGTGAGTTCCAGGAAAGGCGCAAAGCCACATAGAGAAACCCTGTCTCGAAACAACAACAACAACAACAAAAAGAATTAAGTGGTTGATTAAGAATTATCTGTGTATATCAAGATAGCCACATGCCTTCGGTTGGAATGTCAGGTACTTTCCCTTAGATGCTGGCCCATCCCCGGGTGGTGTCAGCTTATGACTTTTTCTGGATCCGGCTATTGCCTGCCAGTAACTCTGTCACGGCAACTGTGTCTGGGCCTCAAAGCCTGTCATGGCAGCTGTGTGGTCATGCTGTTTGGGGCCACCCACATTGGGAGACAGGTGTCAGTGGTAATGGTTGATAACTCAGATAATACCATCTGGAGCTTACTGGCATGTAATCAGAAGAAGTAGATCTTACCAGCAAGAGTCAGAGAAACAGAATTCAAAACAAAAAGGGGCTACAGAACTGTGAAGTCACGGTGGTTAAAAGTGATCATTGCATGGTTTTAGGAGGCAGGTGCCTATAAGGTGGAGTTGTGAGGATGGAAGAAGTCTGAGCCTAGAGTAGAAACCCAGCCACACTGCGTAGGGCACTAAAGGGCTGGGTAATAGCCAAGAAATGACATTGGGCTGTTGCTACTCATTGGTGTCTTGAAGTGTCGGTGGGGACATGGAGTGGAGGTTCAGGAGACTCACAGGAACAGGTCATTTGAGCTGGGGTGGGAACAGTCTTAACTCTGGACAGATGAATGGACAGATAGGCCTCTTTAGGAGACTTGAGGAGTACTTGGTAAGGTTTCATTCAGTAAGTGTTGAAGAGTCTTTTATCCTGTGGGAAGGATATTTTATCCTTCAGGATTACACTGAGAGCAGGTAGGACAAATTTTGGAACAGATCACAGTGTCTGAAGAGGCTTTGCACTCAGAAGGTGGAGGACTTTGGCTCCCAGTTGTGAGACCCAGTGAAACTGCTGAGTCCCTGTTGGGAGGACCCAGGAAGGAACAGACATTTCTGGGCTTTGTAACCATCCCGAGGTAGTAGCTGCAGATTTCAGGTCGAAAGCCTGTAGAGTCACTGAGTTGTATATGAGGACGAGGGAGAGTGTGTGATTAGGAAAGTTAGGCAGCCTGTTTTAGAAGCTTAACTGCCTGTTTGACCTGTTAATTGACCCAGAAATGTTGGAGGGTGCTGGCAGCATAGTGGCTGGAGTCAAAGTTGGGCGAGATTTTCCAGTAAAGTCTGACGTTTATAAGGAAGACTGGTGCTTGTTGAGTCTTATCTGAGACCCAGTGAGTTGAGCTTTAAGGGTCGGAGAAGGTTTTAATTGGCTAAACCTGGCTACTTGGATGACTATCTTTGTAGGGACTGTGTAGTATCAGGTTCCCAGCAGGACAAGGTCAGGATGAGAATCCTGGTAGGGAGCTGTTAGATTTTATTTTATAATACTGCTGTTTGGGGTTAGACTTTCCCCCTGGGTATTTAAGACCTTGTAGCTAGACACAAAAACTTTGTTATGGCCAGACAAGGCTTTTTTTTTTTTTTTTTTTTTTTTTTTTTTTTTTTTGTGAACCAATGAATTTTACTGACAGAAATATGGGTGAGGGGTCACTTACAGAAGCAAAAATGAACCAAAGACAGCGGCATCGCCAAAGCCCACCCCAGCCTGGGTGACAGCTCACAAAAGCTGGGAACCTGTAACACTGTAAAAGTCGGAGGTTGTACTTCCCATGTGACTTAGTCCTCGTGTGTAAACGTCTTTCAGGCAGCTTGATGCTTATCTGCTTCTTCAAGGCAGCTTGGCTTATATGAGTCTTTGCAGCTTGGCTCAGACACGGCTTCTTAAGGGTTGCTTTTAGCAACTTGTCTGGAGAACCTTGGCTTCTCTCTCTCTCTCTCTCTCTCTCTCTCTCTCTCTCTCTCCTCTCTCTCTCTCTCCTGTCAGTTGTGGGACCCTGCTGGGATGGGTCAGGGGCTTGCTGAGAAGAGTTCCTTTCTCCTCTGGTCCCCTGTGTGTGACTTAGCTGACCTGAGGGCAATAGCTAAAATACTGGCTGTCAGCTCAGCCCCTTTTCTTATTGGCTTCAGCTTCCGATATAGCTGTTACATACCCACAACAAATTGTGGTTTGAAACCCAGCTGTTCTGTAACGCTAAAAACTTGACTCAGGAACCTCAATTATCTGAACAAAACATAGTCCTTGCTCTATTTATTTATTTTTACCAATGCCACTTAAGTTAATTTTTACAAGTCTTACTGTGACATATTTTAACCTTCTGATTTTGTCCTGACCTCTTTTTCATAATCCTTCACTTAAGTACAAAACTATTTTGTTGTACAAAATCCTTGCCAAAATGTGTTTTCTTCTTATTAGGATGGCTTTTCTTTCTTTCTTTCTTTCTTTCTTTCTTTCTTTTTTTTTAAAGATTTATTTATTATGTACAGAGTGTTCTGCTTGAATGCCAGAAGAGGGCACCAGATCACATTACAGATGGTTGAGAGCCACCACGTGGTGCTGGGAATTGAACTCAGGACCTCTGGAAGAGCGGCTAGTGCTCTTAACCTCTGAGCCATCTCTCCAGCCCTAGGATGGTGTTTCTATACCTATAACCTTTTATATTTCTTTCTTACACATGTTCATTCTTCTTTGCCTTCCCTTTTTTTTCTTGGTTTTGGTTTTTTTGAGACGGGGTTTCTCTGTGTGGCCTTAGCTATTCTGGAACTCACAGTGTAGACTAGGCTGTCCTTGAACTCAGAGATCCACCTGCCTCTGCCTCCTGAGTACTGGGATTAAAGGGTGTCGCCGCCGCCCCGCCGCCGCCGCCGCCGCCCGCCGCCAGCCGTTTTTTTTTGGTTTTTCGAGACAGGGGTTTCTCTGTGTAGCTTTGCGCCTTTCCTGGGACTCACTTGGTAGCCCAGGCTGGCCTCGAACTCACAGAGATCCGCCTGGCTCTGCCTCCCGAGTGCTGGGATTAAAGGCGTGCGCCACCACCCGCCCGGCGCACTGTCCTTTTTAATAAAAATTTCTCTAACGAGAAAAGTCATAAAAGCCTGCAAAGAGGCCATATTTGATTAGTAAACTCCTAATAGTTGAGTATTTTTCTTCTTTTTACAAATGTATTGAGAATTTCATACATGAATATAATGTGTTTTGCTCAAATCCACCCTGCATTTCCTCCCCTCCAGCTCCTCCATACCCCCTGCCACCAAGTTTCCGTCCCCACTTAATGCAACTTAGAAAAGTGCCAGGATGTGCAAGGGTGTCGGCTCATCGCTAGAACATAGGCAGTCTATCAGGTCACATCTGAGGTAAACTGACTCCTTACCCAGCAGCCATCAATTGCCAAAAGCTCCTCAGTGGGACTTTACAAGCCTCTCTCCCATCCCTGATGGAATTTTACCTAGTTTGATCTTGTACAGGTCTTTGCATGCAGTCATAGCTGCTATGAATGCATGAGTTCAATGTCCCTGTCAAGGTTCATAGCTCCTCTATAGCACCTGACTCTTAGACCTGTGTTTCAAGATGATCCCCAAGCCTTGGGCATAGGGAATGTAATATAGATGTGCCATTCATGGCTCAGCTCTCCAGTGTCTTGTTCTCTAACACTTTGACCAGCTGGAAGTCTCTACTAATCACTGTCTACTGCAAAACAAAACTTCTTTGGTTTAGAGAGAATGTTGGGAGCTGCAGTTTAATGCCATGTCTATTTAACTAAGTAATGGTAATTAGTGCTTCCCTAGAGCCCTGTGTTTTCATGGCTTGAAAGAGATATTCATGTGCCCAGGTCCCCTTGTTCCCTTTGGAGTTTAGCTTGTATTCCCACAAATCAACTGTTGTATTCCCATAAATCAACTGTAAGTATCTTGGTAGACTCCTGGTAGGAACTGGTAGGCCTGGAGCTAGCTGTCCATGCAGTAAGCAGCAGCAGCAGGCTCATGAAGGAGTATCATGCTTTTTTCTAGGCTCCAGGGGTCTGCTGATTTTTGCCTTATTTTAGTTCCTTGGAGCAGCTTAGATAAAAGCTCAACCATCAGCAACAGTGGTTAGCTGCTGCGGGCCGCAGGAATATATCATAAGAACTCAGCTGGTTATGGCAAAGGCACTACCTGGAGGGATCAAGGATTTCCTCCAGAGGAAGCCACAGTCCAAGGAGTTTTTGGTGTTATTTGGCTTGTTAAATATCAGCTGTCTTCTGTTATGAAAATCATGTGTGCCTTCATAGTTTTCCCCCAATTGACTTTTCCCTAAGAAGGGCTAACAGTGTGGACTGATCACTCTCTGGACATACACATCCCAGGTATTTGGAGAACAACCTCAGGAAAGGCTTTCTCTGGAATCAGATATCTCCCTTGGCCACTTTCAAGGACTAGCAGTAATAACAGTCCACATGCAAGTCTCCTGATTTAAGGTAAATTCCACAAGGAGGACACCGCCTAGGTCAGGTGGACCTTAAATAATAGCTTTACACAATTTAGCTCAGACCCTCCTTTCTTACAGCCTTACTAACTTTATAGACCGCTAACTCCTTACCTAACCACTTCTAGGAATATTTAGATAACTTTCTGTGCTGACAGCTATGCTCAGCCAGAACCCCAGTTCAAGCCTCCCTATAATTATCATCATTGGCAGCATCCGGCCAGGTCCATCCCCAGATAGAGAAAAGTACCTTATCAGAGATACCTCTGTACTCTCTAAGAACAGACTTAAGCATCCAGGCTACCCGTTTGAGAAGGCCTGGCGGATGTGCCAATTAAGTTTTACTTCCTCCTTTCCCAAACCTTACCTCTGGTTCCAGATCTCCCTTTAACTATCACCGGAGGCATCTAGCTGTACACAGGTTGCCTAGCGACTGAGCACACTTTCCCCCACCCTGCAGAAAAATGGCAGATAGCTTGGACAGATAGGAGCCACAGGAAAAAAGAAGACAGTTTTATTTTCTCCCATTGACCTAGCAACTTATAGATTCTTAACATTTTCTACTAATCACGTTTAAGACTCTAGTTGAGCACATAAGATCCCTCTTCTTAGATATTACCCGAATTTAGCCTTTAGTTAATTCATTTCCCCATTGGTCACTTCCCTTTGGGGTTACAAATGATAATTAATGGTTATTGCCTCTCAATGTGATTCTTATCACCCCTCCCTTTGACCCTGGAAGCCTGGTTTTATATACCAGGACTTCCAGGGCACTGGGGAACGGAGAAGAGAAAAGAGAATGGAAGAACTCGATGGGTAAGAACTTGAGAGGAACAAACTGAGATGGGGGAAGAATCAGATTGAAGGGCTAGAAGAGAGGACTAGAGGAACGAGATGGAAGATGAGGAAGAGCCAGATGGGGAAGTACTAGCTGGGTAAGAACAAGCTGAAAAGGACCTAGATGAGGCAGAATTAAGATAGAACTTAGATAAGTGTAGAGAGAAATCAGGCAAGAAAGGAGCTAGGCACGAGAACAGACTGAAGCTGTGTATAAAGGATGTTATGCCAGAGGAGTTAAAGCAAGTGGACGATAGAGCTCGGTGTGCTGAAATTCTATTTCCTGAAAATAGTCCTCGCCGTTAGTAGTTTCTCTCCTGAGCCCCTGGGATGTATAATATTAAGGCTGGTCCCTCTGATATCATACAAGAGTTAGCAGAATTCCCTTCTAGAGAAATGAGACCTTTGAGTTCAACCCGTTACTCCCCTGATGATCCCAAGGGATGAGACTAGTGGATTTTTCTCTATTAGTATATAGAGCTGGGGGTTCATTCTGGGCTCTAGATAGGTTAGCGTAGATCCCTACACCTTGAACAATAGGGCTCTAGCTATATGTGCCTAATCTTTCCTTCCTTGGGGTGATGTCAGGTGTCTGGAATCATTCTCCAGATCTCTGGCATGTTGCCCATAGTAGGATTTGATATATTGTTTTCTCAGTGTCTGACGACTCACTTTTGCTTTTGAGGGGACTTGATACCTGTATAGATGTTTATTAATCTTGTCACTCATGGGTGGAAGGAAAGTCAGGATCTATACCAGGGATTCGTAAGTGTTTTGTACTTTTGACGCCCCCCCCACACACCGGGAAATACTCGTATGCTCTTAGGTGTTCATGTGTGTAAAATAGATGTGCATATGAAACATTTGCTGTAGTAAGAATTTTATTTATTTTAAAATGATGCTTTGACATACATCCAATATAACATTTCTCAAAGATGAAAGAAACTTTGAGTACTAGTGAGACAAGCTAATTTGTCTGACATAATATAGTGTAAAGATAAATGGCAAGAGATTATGGCAGAAAAATATTAAATGTCTGTGCTTTTCATAAAAACCTTGTTTTGAAAGAGCAGCTAACTATGTAGAGTACAAAACCTACAATTTATAACATCCTTGAATCTGAGCCAGAGTGATACAGGCGGCATCTGTTGGTGCTGTGTGATGCAGTGGTGCATACTGTGTAAAGCGTGCATGTCGTATGTTCTGAACAGAGACGACAGGAAGGCGTCCTGTAGCCGAGTTGAGCCAATTCAGTCCATATTTGATTTTTAGTGTTCCCAGTTTTTGGACCCCCTTCCTTCAGTTATGTGACCCCACATGGAGCTGCAGCTAACAGGTTGAGAATAGGACTCTGTGCTGGATTGTTGTATGTCAAGTTGACACAAGCTGAAGTCATCTAAGAGGAAGGAGTCTCAGTTAAGAGAAAATGCTTCCATACGATGGGGCTGTAAGCAAGCGTGGTGGGTGGTGCCGTCCCTGGGCTGGTGGTCCTGGGTTCTATAAGAAAGCAGGCTGAGCAAGCCATGGGGAAGCAAGTCAGTAATACCCCTCCTCCATGGCCTCTGCATCAGCTCCTGCCTCCAGGATCCTGCCCTGCTTGAGTTCCTGCCCTCGCTGCTTTTGATGATGAACTATTAATACGGAACTGAGAGAAATAAACCCTTTCCTTGTTGTGGTGATTGATCACAGCAAAAGTAACCCTAACTAAGACATACTCTATGGTCAGCGCTGAGAACTGAGCTCATACCTTGGCATACACCTGTAACACAGTGCTGTGACACCAGCCTCAGCATCTGCATTTTTTCCTTTGGAGACTGAATGTTATTGTTTATGATTGGGTTCATGTATTCTTTCCCCTTGCTCTTACTAACACCTACCTCACATACCTGTGTCTTCCTCTATGGATTTTTTTCTTTTTTCTTTTTTTTTTTTTTTTGGTTTTTCAAGACAGGGTTTCTCTGTGTTGCTTTGCGCCTTTCCTGGAACTCACTTGGTAGCCCAGGCTGGCCTCAGACTCACAGAGATCCGCCTGCCTCTGCCTCCCAAGTGCTGGGATTAAAGGTGTACGCCACCACCGCCCGATGGATTTTTTTTTCCTTTTGGGAATTAGAAAAGGCTAGCGTTGTTTTCTTGAACCAGTATGTTGACGCCTGTGTTGATTTTTCTCATTCCATGATACAGAATACAAATCAAGCTGTACCTTCTGTAAGAAACTAGTAACACACACACACACACACAGAGAGAGAGAGAGAGAGAGAGAGAGAGAGAGAGAGAGAGAGAGAGAGAAGTGAACTCTGATTTTGTGTTCCTTGAACTGAAGAGCAATGTGTCATTTCAGGGATTGGTATTGTTTGAGGACGTAGCCGTGCACTTCACGCGGCGGGAGTGGCAGGAGCTGGATGCTGCCCAGAGGACCCTCTATAGGGATGTGATGCTGGAGAACTACAGCAATCTGCTGTTCCTGAGTGAGTGGAACTCCTTGTCAGTCTCAGAAAGTACTTCCTCCTTGGTTAACAAGTAGAGAAATCATCACTTACTCTGAAGATTTCTTTTTATATGTAGCTGTGTATATGTGTCTGTGAGAGTGAGTACCACATGTGTGTGGGTACCTGTGCACACCAGAGGGCATTAGATAGCCCAGAGCTTAAATGAACAGTTGTGAGCTGCCAAGTTTGGATACTGGGAACTGAACTTGGGTCTCCCAAGAGCAGTATTTGCTCTTAGACACAGAACCATCTTTCCAGCCCACTGAACTTTCTCAAGACCATTATTTGGGGTTATCTACCTTGCAGTTTAATGCCACAAAAGGGTGGTCTTCTAGCTATTGAAGAATGAACATATAGATCCTCTCTGACCAATAAGTCTCTTACTTATTGAACAATTCCCAAAGTGGAGCTGTGGTTTCTTAGTAGACTGTCATAACACCCTGGCACCATTTGCTTATTATTTCCAATTTACAGAGCCCCGCATGGCCAAGCCTAAGCTGATCTTCAATTTGGAACGTGGCTATGGGCCATGGAGCCTGGCAGAAGCTTCAGTGCAGGGCTTCCCGGGTGAGTAAACGTGTACGAGGAGGTCAGCAGGCAGAGCTCATCGGGTGTTGGTCATGTTGAGCTGCTGTTGTTGTTTTAATCAAATTTCATTGAAACCCAGTCCTGAAACAGCTGGTCACATGGGTCGAACCTTTTTTTTCTTTCTTTTATTTGGGTTTTTTTTTTTTTTTTTTTTTTTTTTTTGGTTTTTCAAGACAGGGTTTGTCTGTGTAGCTTTTGTAGCCTATCCTGGGACTCACTTTGTAGACCAGGGCCTCAAACTCAAGAGATCCACCTGTCTCTGCCTCCCGAGTGCTGGGACTAAAGGCAACTTTTTAATCCAGTTTTAAAAGAATATTCATGGCCTCACTCCATCACCCTGATTTTCTTGCTGAAGATTTGCCTAAAAAATCTGAGATCTGCCAAAACAAACCCTGTATAGATCTTCTTAGCCACTTTTCATGGATTAAATGCTTGACCTAATTTCTTGTTTGTCCTGCTATCTTAACTTGTTTTAATAGAATAGCTTTGTTATTGGACCTTTGTGACTTTACTTTTCAAAAACCTGCTCTTTTTTTCATTTATAGGTAGGTAGTTGTCTTTGTAACTGTCATGTTACCAATACTGGTCACATGATACCTCTCTTCTGAAAGAGCTTATAGTTGGATAGAGCACAGTGGACTGAAGGTGGATGAGTGATGGATAGCCAGAGAGAGTGTTTACCAGGAAAGATATATAGGCGTGTTTATGTTAGCAGAGGCACACAGTGAGTTTGCTGTGGATGGATCTTTTCATTTAGTTTCTCTTTCACTTTGAGATGTGATTAGTAGTTGGGTATAAATTAATGACTTGATAGTGATCATGGTTAGAATATAGATACATTTGGAAATCAGTAGCCTAGAGACATTTTAATATACTTAATGTACTGTATTATCTCCTGCTTTCATATACTTTTAATATTCATTAGCTTTCATTTTCACTGTTTTTTGTATGTTCTTTGTGTAGTTACTGGTGTCATATGAGTTGTCTTTATTTTTCATTTCTGTATTGGGTTTACTTTCTCCTCTAAGTGGTGCAGTAGGCTAAGGCTACAGGTGAAGAGTAATGACAAGTCCCCCTTCCATAAAATGGGAAGATTGATGGCTCCCCTCTGTTGTACCAATTACAGTATGGAAACATCAATTATGGCAGAACAGACAAACCACGATAAATCTTCCAACACATATTGGCCCTCTAATAACTGATTCCAAAGATGGGGAAGTGGAAGAGATGCCAGGCGCAAAATTCATACTCTACATTTACTAGTGATCACTGACCTGAAAGAGTTTTCAAATAAATAGATGAATGAAGAATAAATTTAAAGCTTTCCCCAAAAATTTAGAATCTTCAGTAAGAAATTCAGAGAGATTGGGAAAGAAAATACAACCCGAGATCTTGAAAGGGAAATGCTCAACCATAACTAGAATATTCACTAAAATGTATCATAGAGTATATAGTGTGACCGAAAAAAAATAAAACAAATCAGGGATTGCAGCTAGGGTTGAGAATTATTACAGTCAGATTGAGAGAAAATATTACACTTAATACCCTCTGGCTATGATTAAGAAACCTAACGTGGCCCATGGCGTGGTTCAGTGTATAAAGGCACTGGAAGGCCTGACCACCTGAGTTTTGTCATTGGGTCCCACCTAGTGGAGGAAGAGAACAGACTCCCTTCAGGTTGTCCTTGGACTTCCACACATGCGCCATGGCATGCATGTACCTACACCATACAGAGAGAGAGAGAGAGAGAGAGAGAGAGAGAGAGAGAGAGAGAGAGAGAATGAACAAAAGAAATGCAGCCTGGGAATCTGGCACACAGTAGCAATGAAGGGACTAGAGGCCTAGATTCCCAGGCCTCTAGGTGACTAACCAACATATCTAGGTGTGTGAGCAGTTTAGCACCGTGACTTGATACAAAAAATTGACATGATCCAAAAAGACCTTTTCAAGGGTCATTAAAATGAAATTGCCAGAAGCACAAAAGAAAGACTCTTGAAACTGGCGAGAGGACCGTGCTGAGTTGCTTTAGAAGACAACCATATTAGCGCAGCATATGTCTTTGCAAAGACTGCACTGACCGGAAAGCGTGGGCTCATGCATTTGAAACCCTGAGACAAACTGTGAAGCAAGATTTCTCTGACCAACAAAGTTATCCTGTAAAACTAGAAAGAACTGATGGCCTTCTCCAATGAGCATGAATTCATTTTATATTTCAACAATAAAACAAAGCAAAGGAAACGTGAGTTAGAACCCTGGTATCTGTTAGAGAAATTTGTTATATTCATTACGGAATAAAATATGTATCCTTCGCTGGGTGGTGGTGGCACACGCCTTTAATCCCAGCACTCGGGAGGCAGAGCCAGGCAGATCTCTGTGAGTTCGAGGCCAGCCTGGGCTACCAAGTGAGTTCCAGGAAAGGCGCAAAGCTACACAGAGGAACCCTGTCTTGAAAAACCAAAAAAAAATAAAAAATAAAAAAATATGTACCCTTACCATGGGTCAGTAAGTGTCTTAGTTGGGGTTTCTGTTGCTATGCTAAAACACCATGACCAAAAGCAACTTAGGGCGGAAAAGATTTATTTCTGCTTATAGCTCCACAGCACAGTCCATCACTCAAGCAGGGACTGGAGCAGAGACTGTGGAGGATACTGCTTACTGGCTTGTTCCCTGTGGCTTGCTCAGTCTGCTTTCTTTCTCTCTTTCCTTCCTTCTTTCTTTCTTTCTTTCTTTCTTTCTTTCTTTCTTTCTTTCTTTCTTTCTTTCTTTCTTTCTTTCTTTCTTTCTTCCTTGTATAAATAGAAAACATTTATATGACTCAAGTTTTTCCAAATAGCTTAAGCTTAACAAACTTAGCAAAGACAAAGAGGCCTGGCAACATTCTTAAGCCTGAATGGACCCTGGACAAGGAGAGGCATTCTCCAAGTCACTGGTTCTCAACTTTCTCAATGCTATTTCATAAGTGCAGTTTTGCCATTGTTGAATCTCAATGCAAACATCTGACATACAGGTGGTCCTAGGCTACCCCTGTAAACATCTGACATACAGGTGGTCCTAGGCTACCCCTGTAAAAAGGTTTTTCAACTCCCAAAGGATCGAGACTCATGGAGTCAGAAGCTGTTTCAAGCCCTTTGCCAGACTGCTTAGGTCATTGTCTTGCTGTTTCACAAGAAATGAACATCCCAGTTCCTAGTTAGTATTTGGTGCTTATGACTCTGACTCTCATTTTTAGCCTTTTATTTTAAGTCCAAATATTAACAATATAGATAGAGCATTTCATTAACTTAAAATTTCCCGTAACCTTACAAAATTCAAATATTTTAAAAACTGTCCTTAAAAAGGTTAAGATCTCTCAAATGTCTTTCTGCAATATCAAAAATAAAATACCATCTTATACTTAAAAAGGGAGAAAACATGGCATCACCATGATATGTATAAAGCTCTGGAGTGCAAACAGTCCCAAAGTTCAATATCTGGGATTCATTTATAATTATTTTGGTTCTTTCACTTAGAGGAATGGATGATTTCTTTAGCTCTACCCTTGGCAGCATATACATAGCCTGCTCCATTTCACTGTAGCTGGTACTTCTGGTGATCATCACCTGGCACTGGCATTTTCAAAACTTAGAGTGAGCTGCTTTTCAGTAGTGAGCCTGATTAGATGCAGGCTGGAGAACCTGGTGATTATCATCTGTTTAATGCAAAGGTCCACCATTGCAACTAGACTCTCTTTGGAATGTAGTCCTGCCATACATTTGCAAACCTCACCGTTCCCTATTATCCTCTCTTGTCTTTAAAACCATTATCTTATTACATGGGTAAATCTTAAATTACAAAGTTTAGCTGCCAGAGCAAGCATTGAGGTACAGCTTTAATATTTATCAAATACCTTATTTATTAAACATATGTAGCCATCTATTTAAATTCTCTAGAAGCTTGCTGTTGAACACTTGGTAAAGACATAAGTACTTAGGTGTAACTCTCTAAGTTAGCTTTTGTTAACCTGAATAAGTCTTTATAACCTTAGTAAAAGATGGTTGCCAGCCATGTGGCTGTCTATGAGGTCACCAGCTAAGATGGAAGAAAGCCACAAGGTTGCTGTTTAAAGCATGTTTTTCTGAACAATAATTGCTTGCACACATGTGCACAGTTGGATCCAAGTTAGATACACATACATATAATTCAAGCTAGCTTCCATTCATACATATAGTTATTTATTTCTGCTACTATAATATCTTCTAGCTTCATTCTTGCTCATCCTTCATAAATCACAAAGTTCTGGGGTTTTTTTGTTGCTGTTTTTTTGTTTTGGTTTTTTTTGGGTTTTTTTTGTTTGTTTTGTTTTTTGAGACAGGGTTTCTCTGTGTAGTTTTGGTTCCTGTCCTGGATCTCATTCTGTAGACCAGGCTGGCCTCAAACTCAGAGATCTTCCTGGCTCTGCCTCCTGAGTTCTGGGATTAAAGACGTGCACCACCGCTGCCTGGCTCAGTCTGCTTTCTTATGGGACCTAAGACCACCAGCCCAGTGGTGCAAGTGACCACTCCCCTTTCCACGTCTATCAAGAAAATGTCCCCTAGGCTTGCCCGTAGGCCAGTTGGTCAGGGCATGTTCTTAATTGAGGTCCCCTCTTTCAGAATGACTCTAGCTGTGTCAAGTTGACATCAAACAAACAGCACAGTAGCATATGAAGGCATGACTTGTTTATGTTTGAATTCTAAAAAAATATATTTTATTATTGAACTGTGGCATTTTTAATATTACAGGTGTTCATAAAGTGAGTGCCCTGATTGACACCAGCAAGGAAAATCCTAAGATACTTTTGGGGCAACTTGAAATAACTAACCAAAAGATACCAAATGAAGACTTGATTGAAGTAAGTAGACATGTAACGTAAGGTCAAACCATATTTCCACACCTGGAGTGAGCTGCTTTTCAGTAGTGAGCCTGATTTGATGCAAGCGGAGAACCTGATGATTGTCATCTGTTTAAGCAAGCCTACCAGACTCCTCTCAGCAGCTTAGTCTGCATCACAATGGAGTTCATAGTGTTAGTATTTTCAAAGAGGCAAAGGTGCCGGCGGTGGTGGCGCACGCCTTTAATCCCAGCACTTGGGAGGCAGAGGTAGGCGGATGAGTTCGAGGCCAGCCTGGGCTACCAAGCGAGTCCCAGGAAAGGCGCAAAGCTACACAGGGAAACCCTGTCTCGAAAAACAAAAAAACAAAACAAAACAAAACAAAACAAAAAAAAAACCAAAGAGGCAAAGGTAATATTATTGATACACGAAGACATTTCATCTCAAAGAGACTTCTAGTAAATTCTGTAAATACTTGAAATCCTTTCCTGTCCACAGTGTGGCTTATGTGGAAACGAAGTACTGAATGTAGTATATGTGGATAATGTTTTTAAGGGGACAAATCAGTCAGTGGTAAAGAGCACACAGAAATATCTAGAGATTATGAGGCAGCATACTTGGAATATTAGGCAGCTCATTCTAGGAAAAAGTGCTGGAGCACTAATGAATCTTAACAAATTCTTTTGTTTCAAGGCAAAACTGAAGACTCCACAGAAAGTCTACAAAGGGACAGGATCATGTCATAGTAGAGCTCCTGACAAAACATTTCACCAGAAGTTAAGGGAAAACAAGAACCAGACATTGTACAGAGAAGAGAACCTCTATGAATGTATGGAATGTGGGAGAACTTTCTCTAATAACTCAACCCTCATCAAGCATCGCAGAAGAACTCATAATGTACAGAACCGCTTTGAATGTACTGAATGTGGTAAAATGTACCATTGGAAGTCAGACCTCACTGCTCATCAGAAAACGCATAGTCAAGAGAGAATCTATGAATGTAAAGGATGTGAGAAAGCTTTCTTCCGTAGGTCTCATCTCAATGCACATGAAAGAACTCATACAGGTGAGAAGCCTTATAAATGTACAGAATGCAAGAAAGCTTTCAATTACAAGTCAGACCTTACTCGACATAAAAAAACTCATTTGGGTCAAAAGCCTTATAAATGTGAAGAGTGCATGAAAGGTTTTTCCCGAAAGTCAAAGCTCGCTATACATCAGAGAACTCACACTGGTGAGAGGCCTTATGAATGCACAGAATGCAGGAAAACTTTCTCCCATAAGTCACAACTTACTGCACATAGGATAACTCATTCATCTGAGAATTTTTATGAATGTAAAGAGTGTAATAAATCTTTCCACTGGAAGTGTCAACTCACAGCACATCAGAAAAGGCACACAGGAAAAAGCTTCATGAATACAGAACGCAGGAAAACCTGCCACAAGTCAGAGGTCACTGGACATCAGAGAACTCAGGTCGCTGAAAAGCCCTGTGGATATGAGGAATTCGGGGAAGAAGGATTTCAAGTACTTACAGAAGAATTCTACACTAAGTCAGACCTTACTGCACATCAGGGAAATGCATAATTGAGAAGCTTTACAGAATGTAGGAAGGTTTTCCAGTGCAGATCTGACCTCACTCATCATCAGAGATCCACAGAAATGAGAAGCCACTGTGAAGAATGCCGCTCAAGGTTAGCCCTAGTAACACAGAGCAGCGTGTGAAGAGAAGCAGGGCACGCTGTCTGGACAGAACCTGCATGACTTGTCGCCAGCAGAGACTCCACCATGACAGTGTTAGAGCGGTGGTTAAGAGCTCTTGCTTCCTTTTATTCTTTGGTTTCTCTGTGTAGCCTGGCTGTTTAGATCAGGCTGGCCTCTAACTCACAGAGATCCACCTGCCTCCGTGCTGGGACTAAAGGTGTGCTATCAGTAGCTTGGGATGGGGGATCATCCCCCAGCTGCCACCAGGTTATGCAAGAAAATGCACAAATGCAATGAAAGCTTAGGAAAAACCCTCTCTCTGAAAATATCTCTGTCTCCACACAGTTACATCTCTCTACATACAGCTACATTTTCCACACACACTTACACAGCCCCTTCTTCTCTCTGAAAATCTCTCTTGCTCTCTCTCCTGCCTACCTATTCATGTTCTCCCCTCAGCTCCTTCTTCACACACACACTCACACTCACACTCTAACACACACGCACTCACTCACTGCCCAGCTCTTTCCACAGTTCCTTCACACAGCTCTTCCTTCATGGCAGCTGCTCTACACAGCTGTCTCTCTCCACACCACAGCTGCTGCCCCACAGCCAAACTCTGGACAATTATAAGTTACAATTTCAGTGCCATACCCATTCTCAAAACACAAGATAAGTTAAATAGTTCCTCTTAGGCTAGTAATGTCACATTGGCCCATGCACGTAGCTCTAAGTTGGTGAGGGGTCCCCGACAGTGAACAATTGGCTGAACCTTGAGCAGTCAGAGTACATGCAGAAAGGGAGCTGCTGCAGGGAGCTTTATCAATGTAAACAGCCTGGCCTCGATTGAGCAATAACAACACCTGGGAATTAGTGTCGGTGTATATTCTGTAGGGACAGCTTTGTCTGTTTTGATTTGTTCTGATCAGCCTAAAATCAGCTGTCTTTGAGACTGAAAATGCTGTTACTTTCCTGTGTCAGTAAAGAAGAATATTCTGGTGTTATTTCTATACATCAGAATTATACAGCTTAAACAGAAATCCACAGCTAAATGTGTGCCCCAAGAGGTAATATTTTCTTGAGACACACAGTGGGAAAACACCTATAGCTGTTTTTAGGAAAGAAATGTAGTAGCACATGAGAAAATACCAGACAGGAGCAGCAGGTCAGTAGCAGTAACTCCACGGTTTTGGCAAGTGGGGCTCCCCACCAGGGAGTTCTATGTCTGGTGGGTCCACTTGTCAAACACTGGTTGTCACCTGCTGTATACTCCCGTAGCCTTGGGCAGTGTGCACCACCACTGCCTGGATGGAGTTCTCTTTGCCAAGTCAGCATCCCTGAAAACACCTGTTCCCCCACTTCCGACAGCGGTGGAGACAGGGGGATCACTTGAACTTGCTGACTTCTAGCCTAGCTGAGAATGAGCCCCAGGTCCAGGAGGAGGCCTTTTATGAGCGGAACAGGTAGAGAGTGGTGGAAGTGGACCCTCGAGACCCACTTGTGGCTTCTGGGTGAGAGTTTAGGTGCGCGTCTAAGCATGTGTAAACAAAAAACGAAAGCAGAGGAGGATGGTGAAATGGCATCGTGTAAAGGCGTTTATCAGCAGTCCGGTGACTCAGCTTTGATCCCTCGAACCTGCACTGCTGGACACACAGCTGCAAGTTGTCCCACAGGATACACAAAAGGGTTAAAAACAGGTGGCGTGGGTGCTGAAACGGAGTAGAGGCAGGGGGGCAGCTTGCTGCAGTTCCCCGCTTAGTCATCCGAGAGTCACGCTGCAACAACCCTGTACATCTAGTAGTAAAGAAACATCAGCGTTTCAGATCCCCCACCGGGAATGGCCCAGTGGTGTGCCTGCTAAGCCTGCGCATTACTGATCTTTATATTCAGTTTTCCCAGGTTGTCTGCACTGTCAACGTTTATGCTCTTGAATCTGTTGTTTGAAAAACAAACAAGCCATTAACCATGTGAAAAATTGCAACAAATTGATGCTTTATTGCACTCTCTGTGAAATCAGTCTCCATGTATTTCTTGCCTGTTTTTCCATCCGAATGTAGACAAGGTTATGTTCAGCTCCCGGTTGCCTTACGAGCTTGGCTGTGCACAAAACCCTTTCACTATGCGTCTCAGTTTGGGTTTGTCGGCCAGTTCTGCACAGAGTTACTTGGGGATTTATCTTGACTTTTATACCTCACTTCTCTTGATCATTTCATCCCTATTCACACTTATTCTAAGAGCTTTATGTCCTGACAGTCTTACGGCAATTGTGAATGGTGATGAACTGTCTGCTCAGATGTCTGAACATCACACTGCCTGAGGACATGTATGGAATAGTGAAATTTCTATCTGTGCGGCATAGCTACCAAAGCACTAAGGATCCTTTACTGGCTGGAAACGATGGTGGCCCGGGAGGCAGTTCTGGAACCGCCCTCCATTCCAACCCCCTGCAGACAGCTCCACTGGCCCCGACGGAGCTGAAACCTCCATTCCCCCCCCTGCAGACAGCTCCACTGGCCCCGACGGAGCTGCCTGGTACTCCTCGTGGGACACAAATCTCCAGTGCAGGGACACATACAGTTCTATGGTTAAACCATGGTTAGCTTTATCGTAGGGAACACCTGGACGTGAAAATAGGTTGATTTTCTCAGGGCAGTTGGTGATTAGACAAACGTTTTAATAGAGCATATTGAGTAAAGGCAGACTTCTTTCCACAACTCAGTATTCACCTGCATAAGGTGAAAAATCAGGAAAAGAAATAATATGCAATCTACTCGTTTTAGACTCCAGAAGGTTGTCTTCAACATGTGCATATGTACACACTGAGAGGGCCAGGGAGCCAGACCAGAGCTGCGACAGGTTTCTAACAGCCCAGCCAGGGGCCAGGCTTTAGTTTCAGTTTACTGGAACTGGCTGGAGCTGAGCAAGCAGCTCTTGGGAAAACCACAATTTAGGGGCAACCAACCAACAGGTGCCCGCCCCCCAGCCTCCTGCCAGCTCAGCAAACCCCCAAACCCCTTCTGCTGGCTCAGCAGATGTCCCCTAGACTTCTGCTAGCTAAAGGTAGCTTTCCCTATTCTCTTGTCAATAAACCCCTAGACATTAACCCCCCACCACCAATAGGCCCCTAAATACTACAGCCTCCCACCAGTCAACTCCCAGACTAATCTTTCCTTCACCAGTCAGCACCAGATTAATCCCTCCCTCGAATTCCCCTAACTGACCTCCCTTTGGGGTCGCTATTTGCCACCCCAACATGCTGGAAAAAATGCTCTTGCTAAATTGCATACATGACTGTTGGTCTTGGAGGCTTTTCTCAGATCCTAACACACAAATAAAAGCTTAAAATTCATTCCTATTAATTTGCCTCCAGTGAACTCAACTAGTACTTACAGTTTCTGCTTATAGGGTTATCTGTGGCGATTTGAATGAGAATGGCCCTCATAGGCTCATGTTTAAAAACCTTGTCCCCATTTGGTGGAACTGTTGGGGAAGGACCAGGAGGTGTGGCCTTATTGGAGTGGGTGTGTCACTCAGGTGGGCTTTGAGGTTTCAAAAGCCCTGAACTAATCTCAGCTCCTAGTGGATCAATATGTGAACTCACAGCTGTTGCTGATGCCATGCCTTGGCTCTGCCATCTTGGACTCTAACTCTGAAATTATAAACCTAAATAAACACTCTATTTTTTTATACATTGCCTTGGTCATGGTGTTTTGTCACAGTAATAGAAAAGTAACTAATATACCTGTCATCCTTCACTGTATCTCAGTGGGTCACCTTTGACAACTGTCACCTAGAATACTCAAGGTTACTCCATGTTACTTTTGAAAAGTACATTATGTCTTCTAGCCTTGCTTCCTATCTACAAATTCTCACTCGCCTATACTGTGTTCAACATGTGGCTGAGAAGCACTTGAAGAAATGTTCAACATCCTTAGTCATCAGGGAAATGCAAATCAAAACTGCTTTGATATTTTTGTATACCAGTCACAATGGCCAAGATAATAAAACAAATGACAGCTCTTGCTTGTCAGGATGTGGGAGAAAGGGGAACACTTCTCCATTGTTGGTGGGAGCACAAACTTAGACACCATGGGAAGCAGTATGGTGGGTCCACAGGAGGCTGGGAGTAGATCTACCTCAGTATCCAGCTATGGTACTCCTGGGCATGTATCCAAAGGACTCTACCCTACTCCAAAGACACTTGTTCATCTGTGTTCATTGCTGCTCGGATATCTAGAGATTAGAAACAGCCTGGATGTCCCTCAACTGATATAAGGAAATGGTGGTACATTTACATAATGGAATATTATAGAGAATCATGAGATTCACAGGTAAAGGGGATGGAGCCAGTAAAACATTACTACTCGGGTAACCCAGACCCAAAATGACAAATATGGTATGTATTCTCCTATCTGTGAATGTTACCTTTTAAGCCTTTCATAGGCATGCTCCAATTTGTATAAGCACAGAGGAGAGGTATAGAGAAGGACGAGGGGGAGGGGAGGATGACCCAAGGAAGGGAAAACAGGAAGTTATGGAGAGTGGGGGGTGGGAGGGCAGACTAGATAGAACAGGAGGATTTAAATAGGGCTGCAGCAAGAGTTCCCACAGAGCTCTGTGGCTGGTTTGGTTCTGGAGTGTAGGCACCTGGTTTTGATCTGCCCTATGTGACTGCTGCCTTTTGTGTCTGCTACCTTCTGTTTGAAGTACGCGAATCTTACCTGAGAGTTCCCTAACGTTTCAAAGCCTATGCAAGACTTGGTTGTTGGAAGACTCAGAAAACTGAGATGACCTGTGCCTGGGAATTGCTTTGGCATTTGTCTCTTCGGGGAGCTTCCGATAAGAGGCTTTGACATGTGGAAATGGACTTGCTAAAGGTGTAAGTTGTGCAACAATAAAAAAAGCCTTTTGCAAAGTTACAGTCACTCAGCTCACCAGAAGCTGCCTCCCCTACGCTGCAAAGGCTAAAATTAACCCTAGAGTGACCTTGACTGTTCCGCGGACCCTTGGGAACTGAACACCGGACACAGCAGGAACTAAGGAAGGGGATTAAGGGAGGGACACCTCACACTAACCACCCTGTGAGGGATCACATGGAAGCTGATAGAAGCTTCTTCAACTATCTACATATGTGAAGTAAATCTAAATAGAGCCCCCAAATAATGGGGGAGACAATGCCCCAGCTAGACCTCTCTTGTCACCAAGTGTCTGGAATGGGTTACATCTAATTGAGTTGTTGGCCCCCAAACAACTCGGGCTCTTGCCAAGGCTATCATTTGCGCTCCACAAACCAAGCGAAAGTCCCTCCTACTGAAGACAACAGCTCTATAATTCATTGAACATGGAGAAGTGGAGCCAGAGCTTATCTAGAACTTTCCCTCTATGGACTGGTATTTATGGCACTGGAACTCTGGGTGCCACCAGAAGAGAAAGGTAAACACCAACTCAACTACAACACTTTCCATCTACAGTGTGACATGTCTGCAAGGTTTGCTAGAGCCGTAGTGGCCGAAGCGTGTGGGAGTCACCAACCACGGACTGTATTTAAGGCCCCCTCCATGAGAAGGAACCCAAGGCTGACACTGTTCAGGTGGCTAAGCACTGAGACAAGATAGGCCATGGGCCTGGGGGAAACCAAATACTATCGTTCCCCCAAGGGAACAGAACAATAAAATGACTCCGAATGACATTTTGGTGTACCCATAGGCCAGTGTTTTGCTCAGCCATTATCAGAGAAGCTTCCTCTTGCAGTAGATGGGAACTAACAGAGACCCACATCCAATGCACAGAAAGCAGGAGACCTTGGAACACTCAGTCTTAAATGTGATGTCTTCATCAAACCCCTGGCCTCAGGGCTCAGGATGATATGTGGAAGAGGAAGCAGAAAGATTCTAAGAGCCAGAGGGGAAGGATAACACCAAGGAAACAGTGTGTGGTGGTCTGAATAAATATCCCCCCACACACAACCAAACTCATGTGTTTGAATGCTTGGCTCATAGGGAGTGGCACTATTAGGAGATGTGGCCTTGTTGGAGGGAGTATGTCACTATGAAGGTGGGCTTTGAGGCCTCATATATGCTCAAGCCCCATCTAGTGTCTCAGTTCACTTCTGCTGCCTGAGGGTCAAGATTTAGAACTCTCAGCTCCTTCTCCAACACCATGTTTATCTACCTGCACTCTGCCATGTCCCACCATGATGATGATGAACTAAACCTCTGAACTGTAAGGTAGACCAAATTAAATGTTTTCCTTTATAAGAGTTGCCATGGTCGGTCTTGGAGCATAGTGGATTTGCTCCGCCCATGACCTTGGGCTATACAGCCCAAAGGAGGTGGTGCTTCCTGCCATTGTATGTGAACTCTTATAAGGAGTTGGAGAAGGGTCACAGGACCCTGCTCCCTGATCCTGCCTATGAGGTGGATTCACTCCTGGTCAGATCAGAGGACGACTTCCACTGTCTGTTCTGTAATCATGAGTGTATTTCCTCAGTTTATATCTTAATAAATTCTGTTATCCATTGAATAGACTCACGTGGATTGATCGTAATAATGGTGTCTCTCCACAGCTGTAAAACCCTAACTAAGACACAGAAGACTGCAGCACATATGAACTCACGGATTCCCTGGAAATAGGCGGAATGTCTGCGCAGGTACAAATCAGACAGGATCCTAGTGCTGAGAGGGGCAAAAAGACATGAGCTCCCATCTCTAACCAGGAAACTCTCTGCAGTAGACAACCACTTACAAAGAAAAAAATCCTGTGTCTCCAGTAGAGTCTCACTGGGTATACAATCACACTCAAGTGTGAGCCCCATGCCCAGCAGTAGAGGATGTCAATCACACTGAAGTGTGGCCCCGTGCCCAGCAGTAGAGGATGTCAATCACACTGAAGTGTGGCCCCGTGCCCAGCAGTAGAGGATGTCAATCACACTGAAGTGTGGCCCCGTGCCCAGCAGTAGAGGATGTCAATCACACTGAAGTGTGGCCCCGTGCCCAACAGTAGAGGATGTCAATCACACTGAAGTGTGAGCCCCGTGCCCAGCAGCAGATGTCAATCACACTGAAGTGTGGCCCCATGCCCAGCAGTAGAGGATGTCAATCACACTGAAGTGTGGCCCCATGCCCAGCAGCAGATGTCAATCACACTGAAGTGTGGCCCCATGCCCAGCAGTAGATGTCAATCACACTGAAGTGTGAGCCCCGTGCCCAGCAGTAGAGGATGTCAATCACACTGAAGTGTGGCCCCATGCCCAGCAGTAGAGGATGGCCATCACAGAAAGAGCTCAGTGTTGATTTTGTAGATTTCTTTTGTTTCATATTGCTTTGGGCATTTTTGTCTTACAGGTTTTTGCTTATATACTATGGTCTCTAATGTATCGTTAGGGGTGTGGTTGGTGTGTCTGTGTGTGTCTATGTGTGTTTCTTGTGGTCTTTTGCTCTGGTACATGCCCCATTTTTTTTGTTTGCTTTTCTTTTTAAAGTTGTCTGATTTTTTTTTTTAAAGAGAGAAAGAAGGTATGTTGTTAGACGTGTTGAGAGGAGGAGAGGATCTGGGAGGAGATGGGAGAGAGGAAACCATGATCCGAATATATTTTATGAATTTTCAATAAAAATATTGTATGGAAATATTTCAAATAAAAAAGGAAAAAAGAGAGAAGTAGAAAAAAAAACTCACTTTAATAATTCCTTGATTTCTTTCCCCATACTACTTCCATGGAAATGGATTCTTTCTAAACCTCCAACTGTGGGGTTCTTTAATTTTTCATTCTTTCATGAAAATATGGACCATATGGAACTTTCTGACTTTTAGTACCAAAAGCTCTGGAAAGCACCACTATGTTGCTGTTGACAAACTGTTGACATAGGTCACACTGGCCGATTTCTATAGCTCTGGAACACAAAAATTCCCAGGAAAGGAAAATATTTGTGTATGATAGGCTGACTGGTGATGTACGCCCTCATATATTTTTTACAACTCCGTATTTACAGAAAACACACACGGAGCAGACAAGGGAGGGGGTAGAGAACCAAGGGCACACACTCTAAAGAGCTCTGGTAAACAGTGGGCATCAGAGCGAGGGGGCACCTCGGTGTAGAGTGTTTACCTACCACGCACACGTTCTAGATTTGAGCTTTAGTGCCACAGAAAATAATGATGTATCAATATTGACTCGTCAGTCTTTGCATGAGCCACACCAAAGCAAACTGTTCGAAGGGAAAGTGGGAAGACTGCAGAGTAAATGGGACATATGGGTGTGGTGGCTTGAATGTAATGGCCCCATAAGATCATAGGGAGTGGCACTATTAGGAGGCGTGGCTTTGATGGAGTAGGTATGGCCTTGTTGGAGGAACTGTGTCACTGTGGGGTCTAATATATGCTCAAGATACCACCCAGTGAGACACATCGCTTCCAGTTGCCTGCAAAATGTAGGATTCTCAGCTCCTTCTCCAGCACCATGACTGCCTGAATGCTGCCATGTCCCACCATGATGATAATGGACTGAACCTCTGAAACTGTAGCTGCCTCCTTAATTAAATGTTTTTCCTTATAAGACTGACTGTGGGGCTGGAGAGATGGCTCAGAGATTAAGAAAACTAACTGTTCTTCCAGAGGTCCAAAGTTCAATTCCCAGCAACCACATGGTGGCTAATAATCATCTGTAATGAGATCTGGCACCCTCTTCTGGCCT